TCTGTTAGCTCTACGCCTGCCGAAGACACAGACGTCCATCCCCGTGAACACTGGGACGCAACTCAATGGGAAAGGAAAGGATTCTGATTTCAACCGTTGCGTATATTAGCTGCGACACATGAATCAAGATGCTATGACCGAAAACATTTGATTGACAGATGACCGTTGATGTATGATTGGTCGAATTTAGGTGTTCAGGCTGACGTAGAACTAACTGGCCTGCAGAAGATAACGGAAAAAACACAGATTTTAAGACAGGATTTCTTTTTTAAATAGAAATTTTCTAACTTTTGGGACAATACGATCTGATAAAGAGTACATGTATATGCATTCCCTACGACTTTAAATGCATTTTCTGTGTGTTTGTACGGTGTTCTTGAGTGCTGAGAAAGGTGTTTTCAAATAAAATGCATTATTATTATCAGGTTAAAGTTCTAGAAAAGATCAAGCGGGAGTCCAGAACTAAATCTGACAGTTTTTTGTGGGGTTGACTTTAGACAAAAGACGTTCCTAAAGCCTGAGACGTTTAGCCTGATAAACCAGACTAAATGGGAGATGAAAGATGTTATTTAGTCTGGCCCTGATGAATGAGAGATCGGAAGATTGTTGACGAGAACAACCTGTTGTTTTTCAAACCATGTCTGTGCCTATTGGCCAACGCTCTGACCAATGAGCACAACTGACTGTGACGTAGGAAGCGATAGAAAACTGGTGGGGGAGTGTAAACAAGACTATGCCGAGAGAGGGCCGCTGCAGACGGGCTGCCGTTAGCCCTGGCTGCCGTTAGCCTCGGAGCTCCGCTGGTTGGCGGTAGTAAATGGACCATATAGTGACACTTTAAAGTATAATTTTCTCGCCTCAAATTATCATAAAACGTACTTTTATTAAACAACAGCAACAGTAAGAGATCGCATTAGTCGTCATGCCCTTTGTCGTCACATTCAAAACACATCTCTGCTTTGTGATTGGCCCGCCAGATTTAGGGCCTGGGGCATTGATCGAGGCTGGACCACTCGCAGGCAGAAATGACTTTGGCCGCTGGTGGGCGGGGCTAGTTTACTAGGCTATTAAACGTTTGGAGAACGTCTAATTATCAGACGTTTTCAGAAATATCAGCATTTAAAAAGATTTAGGATATTTTGATGTCATGAAAGGCTGGTACTTCAAAACAATTTAGTAAACACTCGGTATGTCCTGTGGGAAGCAGGGCGCCGCCCGTTTGGACCCCATTCCTGATCAAACCCTTGCAGACTGAGGCACACCTTGGTGATGACCACTTTCTGATGGGAACGATAGATGCGGACGATCCTCTCGCAGACATACAGGATCATCGGTCCCACCACCCACTTCCACGTCTGAGGAGAGCAAAAGGTTTCAGGTAAAGATCAGAACTTTCTTTAGATCACCTCGCTGCCGGGCCTGCATCAGTGCCTCACCCCAGGTGGGTTTCCTGCAAATACGGGGACGGCGCAGCCGGACTCGTTTTTACCCCAGTCCTCGAATCTTTTGGCGCAGACGATAGGATCGTTCGTCTGGAGGCTGTTCGCAGTCTGTCCCCGGACAATTCGTCTGCAGTCAGAAACACAATGGGCTCAATATTTAACATGTAAACAGCACAAAAAGAATAATCAAGTTATGATCAACGGTGCTTAAAGACTTTTCATTCTCGTTTTTTGGTACATTTCATCAGAGGAGTAAAGGTTTAGATCCAAACATTACCAAGAAGCTTCTAAGCAGAGTTAAAGATTCATTAACGTGGTCTTCAATCCCAAGTTCCTTCAGACTTTTTTACCAATTAACTCAAGAACCAAAAGACATCAGTACATCTCAGAGGTAAGTCCAAATGATAGAAGCAAAGGCGTCTTAAGACAACAGGACTTTATTCAGATATTTCTTAAACATCAAGAAGATATGTCAGAGTCTCAGATATCTAACTGGGATGGCCTTCAACAAATAAACAGGACTTGTGATGTGACCTCAACAACGTAACGAGCTGAAACAGTTGAATCTAAAGAGGAAATCCCCAACAAGCAGCATTACTTATTATCTTTAGAGGAACATCTTGTTGGTCCACAACGAATGGTTCAAAGTCTGAAACTAAATAAGGCGAAGAACTTTTCTGTTATGATCTGCTTTTCTGGTTCTGTTCAGGTTTGATTTCTGTTATTCTGTGTTTGGTCAATGTAGTGGGAAAATTTAGTTTCTCTTATTTCATACATTGATTTATGCTATTTACTCATTATAAAAGTTTTCACTCAGTCTGTTTCACCTGCAAGGCCGCACGATTCCCCCTGTGTAAACATACTACTTCCCATAACAAGCCAGATTCTTTCTTAAGGTTTATTCATAACATGTTACTGTTTAACCAAAGTGTCCCTAATTGGTTTTGATTACTTTCCATTATTATTAGTAAGGGAAACAAACTCTGTCCAGATCATAACAGGGCTGATTACCGTGCAATAAGGGCCGCATAATGAGCTGTTCTCTCTTTGATAAGATAAATAAAGTTGAAAAACATTTTCCCTACTATAATGACTTGTATCACATTAGAATCCTTGGTTGAACTCTTCCTTGGTGTTTATTTTAGTTATCACTCTTTAGTGTTCTTGCTCTTAATTTAATATTTGCTGCAGTTTTTTTACCCACTGCAGATTAGCTATCCAGATTTCTCCAGTTCCTTCGCCATCCTCTAGTTTTTCCCTTTTGATTATTCTGTTTCTTAGTCTTTAGTCAAATTTTTGTATTTCCTCATTGCTAACAGTTGCCCCCCTATTGCCACTCTCCTTTTCCCTCAGTTCCAGTCTAGCTCTTTCTGGCCACACCTGCTCCCAGTTGAGTAATAATCTCCACACATTGTTCAGTCTCCTCCTGTCCACTATATATACTCCTCCCTTTCTGTTAATCTTGGCTGGATTATCTACAATCATCCCCGTTACTGTGCCCTGTTTCCCGTGTTCCTTGCCTGTTTTCGCCGTTTGGTTTATTTTACTTCTGTCATCATTAATTAATCCACCTGAAACCATCTCTGCCTCTGCATTTTGGGTCCTTCTGCAAACCTTCACAGACCCAGACCCTTTCAGGCTGGGCCATCAGACTGGCCTCGGATAGGATCTTCTCCTACAGCAGGTTTTAGGCTTCCCTGGATCCCTAGCATTCAGCACTTGACGACCTTTTGTGGGTTTAAATTAACTGTTTGAGTCAGTTGTTGTCTAACAGACATACCTGAAGGTGAAGGACAACAAGAACCTGAGTTGAGAAGTAAGTTTAAAGTAAAGTTAGAATAAAAATTTTTGCTTGACAAGCATCCAGGTCCATATATTCCCTTAAAATACATTCATTCCAAGCTATCGGTTACCGACCTCATAAAGTCCAGTCCAAGTCAACACAAAGTAAATGAAGCTATATTTTAGATGTATTTGTTCTCAAAGCCATTCAGAGACTATGCCCGTTTCTCGATATGTGTACTTGTGCGTTCTCATGTGCTTGTGTACTCGTGAAACGTCATCAGCCTCAGGCCTAGTACTGGTCCAATTCACAAGAACAAGAAGACCGAGAAGATGTTTTTCTTACGTTAAACCGTCTGCAGTAGCCAGGGCTAATGTTAAACCGTCTGCTGCAGCCAGGGCTAATGTTAAACCGTCTGCTGCAGCCAGGGCTAACGTTAAACCGTCTGCTGCAGCCAGGGCTAACGTTAAACCGTCTGCTGCTGCCAGGGCTAACGTTAAACCGTCTGCTGCTGCCAGGGCTAACGTTAAACCGTCTGCTGCTGCCAGGGCTAACGTCAAACCGT